GCTATATGTACATACAAACAAACACCTTTGTATGTAACCATGTATTTACATACAGTATTTTGTATTTCATTACATGCATATTCAATTGCAATTGCAATGTTGGCAAATTTTTGTTAGAGTTGCTTAAGGTTCTATAGTTACTTGGGGTGTAGTGATTTTTATTAAGCAAATATGGAGTAAACTATTTTGTGATTTTTATGCATTTGGGTGCGTACACAAATACGAATGTACGTATTAGACGTCTGCATGAATCCAATCAAAACGACAAATGAATCATTCATATTCTAATTGAATGAATGTGATTGGCTGTGAATTTTATTGAATTTAAATGAACAGGTGTGTTGATATGAGTATCGACATAGCAGCGTTCAAACGTTGTAAAACACATTGACGTTTTTTTTTATATTAATCTGTTTTTGAGCTTTCCGAATACATATCTACATACATAGATTTTTTTACTTGTAATCAACATATGAAAAATAAAACCATTGGTTAAAAATTTAGATGGTTTCAATTATTTCAATGCATAAATATAATTCTATTTACGCTGCCTGGGTATATAGCCCTCACAATAAAACGTTGATTTTTGGTTGACTTATGCAGGTTAGATTAGCTTGGCCATCGAATACAATACAAATGTTCGAGTACATATTTATGTCCCTTCTTAAATAGCCGTAAAATTTGTGTCCATTTTCTCATTGTCAATTTTATATGGCACAGTTTTAAATTTGCTATAAATGATTCTTCATTTCACAGTACCCGGCATTCATGTGTATAGAAAAGCAAGTTTTCTATACGAAAAAAACTTATTTGTAGAAAAAAATATAACCAAAATGAGTTTGAACGATTTTAAAGTTTTTCATTCATTCACTCAAATTCTTTCATTTGAAGGTAGAAAATTTAAAACGAAATGAATTCTCATAAATTACAGAATTCAGAACACTGAGTGTTTACTGTACTCTGGTTGGCTGGAAGTTTGAATGACTTCATGCAGAGGTCTATGTTGTACGTATGAAGAGCACGTACAATAATGCTTGTAAACACTGACAGAAAATATAATTGCAACCTAAATTGACTAGCTGATACCAGAAAAGTTAAAAAACTGATTTTAAAGTGATACAAAATGTAAGAACATATTTATGCTGAAGGCAACGTAGTATGATCCTGAAGTGTTACACTAATATATATGTACCAAAGTATTTTGATTTACTCTTGGGTAAGCAACTTGCTTTAAGAGTCTTTATGTACAAGTGTTCTTATAAATAGACAGAGAGCTCATGACCAAAAAACCCATCATACTTCAGATCGATTGAAATTTTTTGGGAGCTTAGCTCGTTAATATATAAATCGAGATCCGGAGGCCTAGCTGCTGAACAGCGCTCTGGATTAAGCGTTTTTAGCTATTAAAGATGTCCATAAAACCGATTACTCGGCATTCTTCAGATGACATGCTTTTGTAAATTTTGATTTCAAATGAAATGAATTTCGATTTATTTATTAATAAGCTAAGCTCACAATGATCGATCTGAGGTATGATGGGTTTTTTGATCATGAGCTCTTGGTCTACAGTTTATTTATTTATTTTTGCATTTAAATCTGTTTTAATTTTGGCAGCTTAAGTTTTTACACACAGAAGGTGGCTTCTTGACATAAAATAAATTATAGCATTTAAAAAACATATAAAATCAAAATATGTTTTCTCTATTACTGCTTGTATATACACTGTGCACACTATGGACGAAAATATCGCATGCTTCCCGCCAGGGTGCACAATTGTACTCTCAGCGATAACTTTCTGCTCGACTTAGTATGGCAACGTTAAAAATTCAGTTGAATAAAAGACAAGTCCTAGAAATAAAGCGGAAAGTCCTGCTCGCTTGGGAGGAAAAGAAAACTGTTTACCGAAAACTTTACGGACTCCAGAGAAAAAAAATGCCGGCTACCAGACCGTTTATGAAAGCGATAAAGGAAGTTGAAGAGGCAAGCGATACGTATTATTTGAGAAGACAGACAAGAAAAGCGATCGGAGATTTTACCAGAGAGTTCACACCGAAAACAGACCAGCGTCGAGCGAAAAAAAGTGGAGCGAGGCGAACCTCAGGGGGTTCACACTGAACGAGACGGAACGGAGCTTTTCTCATGGACTCGGTTGCAAAGATACAACAACTCCTAAAGTCACGGAAAAGCGGCAAAAAAGTTTTCTCAATTTTATTCAAAATATTTGTTATAAAGTTCGTTTTTATTTGAATATTTTGATTTCTCGTTTGCAACAGCGCACAGTGGGATTTCGGCGGAAAAAATTATATTGGTTTTTTAAACTTATTACTAATACTACACCCCTTGGGTGACCTGGTTTTAGAAGATTTGGCAGCAAATATAATATCAAGTTTGAAAACTAGTTGTCATAAGAGGCATATCGTCGCTACCATGTCGAACTATCGAATGGGCAAAAATACTTTTTCAGTTACGATACCTTGCGCATGCGTTTAGAATGATACACAAGTTGGCAAATCGTCAAATTTCTAGTCTTATTAGAAGCAGAGGATACTGGCTTTAACAAAGTATCGAATTCCACCCTAATTGGATTATCCGTTCAGTATAAAAAAATATTTAATTTAAAGAAATTAGTATTTTTTTCTGTTACCTTATTTTTGTTGTGATATAGCAATAATTGCTTTCTATACAAGTTAGGATTAATATGTAATCTATTCCAACAGCAATTATCTGCAATTCTTTTTGTAGAGACTGATTTAACTAGCAAACTAATTTTTATTCGAAAATAATGCAAGCATAAGAAATTATAAATTATGGAGCTAATTAACTTTTAAACGACGTGGTAAAGCATAAAAGGATAAGTTTTCAACTTTTATTCACACTTTCAGAAAGCAACACCGAATTTAGCTATTGTGGCAAATTTCAACATTCCTGATTTAGAGTTAGCTGAAATTGCAACTGCAAGTAATCCTGAAGTGCATAAGGGTTCCGAAACCCTTTAAAATAAATATCCACACTTTTCAGAAAGATTTCTTGAGAAAATCTATACCGGACTTAGTAAATTGTTTTTGCCTTATTTTACCAAATCGTTGCATGCTGCTGTTATAGAAGATGCTTAGAATCGAGCAAACCACTTGGTTGGCTATTTACACGCATTTCAAAAAAGGAATTTCTACCACTCCCAGACGACTGTGCGACATTAGTATATAGTTATTATTCAAAATTGATCACATTCTGAAGTCAAATGTCCCACAACTCACAACGGAATGGCCCTTTACCTACATACATATCTGCTGATTGTTCTAACCAATTCAAAATAGCAGGCTTTTTGTAGCTAAAATTCAATTCTTAATTTCCAACTAATTTCCCTCTTAAATATTAAATGGAATTTTAGGCGTACGTCAAAAAAATTAAATCAGCCCAGACTCTATTGTTTCAAAACAAAAAAAAAAATTCCACACAGCACTCTTTAAATACAAACAAAGTCAAATATTCACGCCATTATGCCATAAAAGTCTGCTTCTGGCAGCGCACAATTTTTTTTTTTTATAAATATGCAACATTTTTATGACATTTGGTCTGCCAAGACAATGTTAGCATTTTTTACACTCTTTTCGCATATAAACGTATTTACATAAATAAAATGTAAAAGTATAGCAAATAAAAACTCATACACCTAAACCAAAGAAAAAAAACGAATTTTGTTAGCCGTCATGGCGTATGCGCAATATTATTATTTGTAGGTAGGTATGCAATTTTTCTACACTCCACCATGTGAATGTGGAACTTTTTCAATTTCATAGCCGCAGTAACAGCAGCTTGGCGCATTCGTATTCGAGTTAGTACTATATCATCACTGCGCTGTGGTTGCCAGCCAGCTGGCGCTAACGTCGTAAATTTGTTGCTGGCTGTCGCGAAAATGTTGGTTTTTATTACAATTATTTTTATTATAATTTTCCACATAGCACACATATCGTTTTTTTTTTTCATTTGCTGCATCATCAGCGGGCAGCCAACGCAATTGCGCGATTGTCTGTGTGTTCTTCTGTGTAGCTTCTATTATTTTATAAGTTGATTTTGTAAAAGTTTTGCACTTTTGCTTCTCTCTTTGCGCAAGCATTGAACTCGATGCGAAATACAATACATATATGTAGTTAGTGTGCACAAATATATAAAAAAAAAAAAAAACTATTCACGCATTATCAGCGAATTTTGGCTTTTTATTGAGACAAACGCTGAGCGATGACTCGCACTTTATGAACGCATTGTGGTTTTATGGCTGCACTGAATTTGTATGAATACGCGGCTGTGTTACAACTTGGAAGTTATTAAATTATACATACACATAGTGCAGATAGCAAAAAGTTAGAAAAGTTCATGTGTGGCTTTTTTGTTGGCATCAAGCTGACAGCACGCAGCACAGCACAGCAGCCATGGGATTTTATAGTTCAGCTGTATCGAAAATTTACTAAAATCATATTGTAATACAGTCATTCAAAATAAATGGAATGCCGCCGGCTATGACTTTGAGAAGAGTTCGGCTGTCGTCAGCAAAATATTTTTAGTTTGTAGTTGATTTTGTAGTTGACGCTCAAATGGGTCTAAGGAAAAACTTACGGTGCAGTCATTATGGATACAATTCTACTCATTCGCTTTTTAATCATTCGCTATAGATCTTATACAATTAATTACTTATTGTTGTTTTGTTTGTTTTTCATTAAAGTTTTTTACACAAAATGCATTTTAATACACTTTTATTGTTTAGCGCTATTTATTTGAGTGCGCATGCCCAGCAATGGAGAATCACTGAAAAAAGTAATGGGTGCAGCAGCAAATATTCTGTAATGCATTTAATATGTTCAGTTTGTAATTTATGTAATTTTAGTTAGACTGTTTAGATATTTTCGGTGACCGCAGGCCTGGGTTCAAGCCCAGTTTCCCAAATCAAATAATAAAAAATATAAAAAAGTTCTTTTCTGAAAGCGGTATTGCATAAAGGTACTTACCGACAGTCTAACAGCAGCGCATGATCCTTTTGTCCAGCGACGGAAATCATTTGATCCATAATGCCACAGGGCATACCAGCAAACTTGTGTTCGGCGGCTTGGCATACTAGGGCGCGTTTCTTGTTGCTAAAAAATTCAGGTGAAAAATAAATATTTTATTTACTATTCGAATACTTAGTCTATGAAGCTAGCTGTGGTAAAAAAAAATTCCAAAAATAAAGAAAAGATGCACACACACAACGAAAATGAAGAGATGTAGACGCCAATGTTGCCAGATCAGTAGTTTCCCCCCCGAGATTTAGAGACTGTCCTAGGGGTAAATTTATGGTAACCAAATATTTAGGTGAAAACTTTATAGGGAAGAAAATGCATCTATGGGAAATTCAAAATTTTTGGAGGAAATCCATCATCTACGTAAACGCTTTTTTGTGTCGTGGGCTTATCTTCAATACCCATTACACTAGGGGTATTCACGATTCGGCGCATACAACAAAAAGAACATAGCCAATCATGATATTTATGCACCATGCTAGACAGTATGCACCGGAACGAGAATACCCCTACTATCTACAAAATACATTGAAAAATTAAAATTACAATAAATTCCAAGTAACCAAATTTAGAGGTAGGAAAGGGAGATCTAGGGGAAAATGGCATGCCCTTGGGGGTAAA